ACCTGTAAGTAAATGCGGTTGTCAATCCCAAAAGCTGATAGTGTCAATGTAGCTTACTTTTAGTCTCTGCACATCCAGTGAGGCAAGTGAGACTCTGCCCTCACCTGCATTGATATGTAAAGATAGAGTGGACTGAGAGTGATTTTCTGTTCATGACTAATATGGTATATAGTCAAACTTGTAGTGCGAGAGAACCCCAGAGGGCAGAGTCTACAATAAGGGCAGAGGCTTTTTCCAAAGTCAGATTAGCATTAAGAATGTGTATAGCAGCCTTCACTGTGCTTCATGCTCATTATTAGATTAGCATCAGCCATGCTGCAAATTGTTATTGCTGACTGTAATCAGAAAATGGGTCGCGAGAGTGCCAGGGGAGAGTGGCAAAGACTGGCAGAGCATGGAAGTACAAATACATAAGAGAGAAGGTGAATGATCACAAGCTGCAGAGGTGAAGAAAAGGAGGACTGAAGGGCTATATGAGATAGAAAAGAGTAGGAAAAACTGCAGTCAGCATTCTGCATAATGTGCATATGTCATCAACAGTATATACATACCGCTCAAAGGTTTGGGGACTGTACGATTTTTTAATGCTTTTAAAACTCTCTTATGCTCCCCAAGGCTGCATTTATTTGATCATTTTTAAAATGTCATTTATTCCTGTGATGGTAAAGCTGAATTTTCAGCATCATTACTCCAGCTTAATATTTTGGTCGGAAACATTATTTTTCAGAATTCTTTAATATTTTATAGAAAGTTTTATATAGAAATTTCAAACCACATTTATTTTAAATGGAAATCTTTTTGTAGCATTATGAACGTCTTTATGTTAACCTTAGTTCATATATTAACTAACCATGAGCAATACATTCGTTACTGCATTTGTTAATCTTTGGTAACGTTAGTTAAAGGTGCCCTAGAATGTGTTGAAATAATATTTTAATTTTGTCTCTTATATCTACATAGAGGGCATGTGGCTTATTTAAGGGCATTTAAAATGTCCAGATATGGTTTTACAGGTCCATTTTCAACTCTAGAAATTGGCCCTAGAATGGTCTGTTTTTACCTTATTTGGAAGGGTCATTAATAGTAATGAGGAGTTCTGCTCTGATTGGCTGTTTCACTGCGGGCTCAGTGAAACAAATGGACTAAGGTTAGATGCCTTGTCAAATAAATATAGCTTCAACTTATGTGGTGGAGAATGTGACGTTAGCTAGAAGGATCGAGTGAGCTAACATTATCTGTGAGCAACTAAACTAACGTAGTTAGCCCCTGACGTGTCGTTGATGAAATAGACGAAATTAAAATTATTTGACAAAAAGGAATTTACATATGTATCTACAGCAGGGGTCTCCAACCTTTTTTCATTTGAGAGCTACTTTTTAAAAATGAAAGTGGCCGAGAGCTACTCATGTAATACAATACTTAAATCTCTGAAATAATGTCTCATAACTCGCATATTAACAACTATCTAAACTGTTTTATACCTAAAAGGGTTTTTGTATGCCTATGTCACCCTTAAATGTCAGAGAAAAGAACAGAATCAGAGATTATTTTTTTTATAGAAAATTGTACTTTGCATATTATATTGTAAAAACACATAATTATAGTTGATTTTATAGTTCATCATGACTAGATATGAAATGGCATGATAATTTAATTTCATTAGTGACCAAAATGATCACGGTAATCACAGATTCCTGTTCAAAAAGTACTAATACTACACAATGAAATCAATTCACTAAGTTGTATGTCGAAAACCAGCAAATAACAAATAAATCCGCATCAATATGCACTTTTTGTTTACATAAACATTAAAATAATAACATTAAAAATTATGGCTAGATTTTAAAGGAGTGTCTTGCAACATGTTATCTAGCCTACTGTACAAGTATGTACAAGTTCAAATAAAGTTTTGACAAAAAATGTTTTATAAAAATATAAACCTCACATATTTCAGCCTTTAAATCATTTTTATAAAAAGAATGAGCCAAAAAAGATAAATTACTGACTTTTACAATGCACATTAGCTTATCTTTTATTATTAAGAGTAAAATTCGATCTGATTTTCCCGTGGCGTCTGTCGTTGCTATGCAACCATGCACTGCGCTCTCCACAATGACAAAGAAGTTTTAGTAGCTAATAGATTTCCACCACCGAAAAACACTTCCTGTAGCTCTGCTACAAGATTTATTTACGGAGAAGAGAAAAACACCCGTAGTGTTTGGGTGCACCCCCATCCTTCATGTTGACTGAGCTTTCAATGTTGTTATGGAAAGGGTGAAGCTGATTGGTTGACCTGCGGTACGTTTGCGGCATACTGAATAGTTGCATTTTTTTCATCTCGCTGCACCTGGAAAAAAATAGCGCGTCGCTTTAATTATGAGCGCGCTTGCCTCGCACCTACATTTGAAATAACGAACTTGAGGACGCAAAAGACTCGATATGTGAACGGCTCCTTGACGAGCAACCTCCAATCAGGCCACGAGCTAACGTTACTGGTAGCTCGCGAGCGACGTTTGGACCCCTGAACTAGAGTAAGTCAGAGTTCACCTAAACTTATCTAAACTCATGTATAATGAACAGAAGATATTGTCATTTTTAAATATAAATATATAAATATATGCTATATAAATGCAACAGGTGTGATTGAAAAAGAATATCAACAGAATACAATTACATTTCAGACGCAGCTCACTACTGAGTTGTGCTATTTTTAGACCAGGCCTGCGGGCGACTCATGTGGTCCCTGGGGGCGACCTGGTGCCCGCGGGCACCGTGTTGGTGACCCCTGATCTACAGTATTATTTTGTAGATTTATATGATACTAACCTCAGCAGCGTAAATACTTTGTCATACTATTTAGTTATGTATGCTCGTAACTTGGAGTTTGCTATTGTTACTGTACTAGGATCTTGCGCTGGATCTAGATAACACAGTGTAAATTATCGTTAATAAAATCACTAGTTACCGCTTGCGAGAATATAGTTGGAATTGCCCCCTTCTTCAGTATGAGACGCTGAGAGAAGCCTGCTTGATATTGTCCCAGGTTAGAAAATAAGTCCATGGTGAAATAAGCAGAGCAAACTAACAACTTCGAATTAAACTGTTGCGGTAACGTTATCCGATTATAGATAAACATCAACCACGCCTGTTGACATTTCTTTTCTGTGGGAAGGGTATGAAAAGTCCTCACATCCCCCGCACAGCCTGGAACATAACATTTGTTTCCATGATCTGCCATTTTCCCTATGATCCTCGCTTGTTTCTTCACCTGCAGAACTTCCGATGATTCGGCTGCGCAGTTACGCCTGGCATTGAACATGGGCTGGCATATGCAAATTTTTGGAGGCGTACATATTAATGATCCCGACTGTTGCGTCACAGTCGGTGTTATGTGGAGATTCTTCAGGGGTGTTTTTCAAAAACGAGATTTAAATAAGGAGAAAACAATGGTGTTTGAGACTCACTGTATGTCATGTCCATGTACTGAACTCTTGTTATTTAACTATGGCAAGATAAATTTAATTTCAAATTCTAGGGCACCTTTAATACAAATACAGCTGTTCATTGTTTGTTCTTCACAGTGAATGAACTAAGGTTAACAAATACAACTTTTGTTTTTAATAATGTATTAGTAAATGTTGAAATTAACATTAACAAATATGAATAAATGCTGTAGAAGTGCAGTTAATTATTAGTTCATGTTAATGAAACCTTATTGTAAAGTGTTACCATTTAGGGTCACTTTTGGTCAATTTATGACCAAATGTCATTGCCAAATAAAACTTTTAATTTATTAATTAAATTATTTAATTTATCGTTCAATTTTTATTATTTTTATTAAATCTTACCCCAAATGCTGTACATATTTGCTATTTCTGTCACACATAGTTGTAGAAGCAGACGAAACTCATAAAGGTAATCCAACAAATACTGACCAAGAAATACAACTGACATTGACGAGAACAGACAACAAAACACTGAAAAGAGAGCCAATTAAAAACAAGCAAATGAGGGAAATAATGATGAACACCTGTGCAGATCAAATGAATTACAATGACAACTGATAGAGTGGCGGGACACTGAACAAAGAAACACATGTAACTAAAAATAACAAAAGCTTTTAAAATTCCATGAAAACTAAACTAAAGTCAAAATAACTGAATGTCCGTGACAATTATATACTTAATTAGCTATCTTGATTAGCTAAATGACTGTACTTAAATATGCTTAATATATTCTAATTAGCATATATGCTGAATTGCACCAAATTTTTTTTTTTTTTTTTTTTTTTTTCAAGAGTTCTACTTGAGAAGAGATTGAAAAGGCCTCTTATTTTCATTCCATTTTAGTTTCCTTCTTACACTTTATCCTTTTGCCAATTTTTCAGCCTCCATATTAACAGCTCGTCAATGTAAATTTTCGTGAACGGCTAATTAGAAGAGCGCACATGGAAATACCAGCAAGTGAAACTTACACGCCCACACACGTTAACCAGGACAAATGTTTCAAAAATGTGTTTATCTAAGAACTGGGATTGAACTAAATTATTTCTATAGCAACTTCTGCATTTCATTTAGCACTAATTAGTTATTAAGTCCAGCTGTTAGCCCACACAAACTCACAGACAGTGAGCAAATGCTGTACTAATCCTCCTGAAACTGAGCCATTAAAACAAAAAACAACATTCTGAGGTGGTTCTGTCTTGCAGTTTAACAACTGGGAAAACCGCCAAAAATAAGTGGGTTCAAACTGAGAGCAGTGAAGAGTGCATCGGCATCAGCCACTGAGGGGCTATTAAGGTTGCATTCCTATTCTACCATCAGGTTACCCGGTTATCAAGACACTTGACCCTCATTTGTTACAGCAAGAACTATCACTACCGTTAGATAAAATTACACTTTCTTTAATTTAAGGTTTTAGATAACCTTCTATCACCCCACAAGTCCCTATAAGAATCTATATTCTGCAAGCGCAGACACACACACACACTCTCTGTGTACCTGGTGTGTTGAGTATGCGTGACATTCGGCAAGCGTAGGCTACGTGCTGCTCGCAGTGCTCAGCGCTGTTGGTTATCGCTGTGACCTGCTCCATAGAGGCACTGTAGTTCAGCTGTAACACCGTCCGCCTCTCCCGGCTGGAGCCAGTCACTGCCGTCTGTGCTGGGAGGTTATTCACCACAGTCATCCACACCTTGTCCTCTGAAACACGGATACAGCAACGGGCATAAAACGGTGAACTGACACAGGAAAAACACTGCGAGATTTGGTTGGAATGACTTGACATATTATTGTAACTTGACTTCTCTTGAACTTCGGTAGGCTGTACAGTACGACGAAGGACTTGTAATTGTTTCTGCAGTAAACTGATCTTATGTGTCTGAGTGATGTGCCTAAGTTTCTAATGATCATTTGCTGGTGAAGGGTGAGAAACTTGGCGAGTCATACGATTTTTGTCATAGGTTTGCCATAGATTATCCGACCACTGCATTGGTAATAATTCATAATAAAGAATTATGCCTCAATATTGTGTCAAAATTTGGTCCAACAAAAAGTGCAAAATATATACTTGAGTGGATAGGTTTCCACATAAATTTTTTTTTAAAGAAAAAAGTCAATATTTTTCTTAACTTTATAAAGTTTTTCTTTAAATCAAGAAGAGATTTTCTCATTAAAGTAACAAGTAAATACTTCATTACAAACTGATTTCACACATTCTGGATCCATGTGTGCAAGTGTAAATCGTTTTTTTTATGGCTAATAATCTACCTATTCAAGTTTTATTTAATGAGTCCTAATAAAAAAAAAAAAAACATTTCTAAATAAAAACACATTTTGTTGTTTATATATTTTTTAATCCACCTTATACGGTAACCATAATCTCTACTTCCCACCTTAAAGAATCACAAGATTTACACTTCAAAGGCTGTTAAATGAACATAATACATTTCAGAAATTGACAGACACTTTCTTTTCAGAATGATTTTTGCTCTCTACCGTGTCCGCTCAGGGATTTCCAATGCTCTGAGATGACTAAAGTTCCTGTCCTGAAATGATAACATTTTAAGTCCTGATGTTCCTACATGCAAGAGTGCCATTTTGTTTTATTTATTTATTTATTTTTGGATCAGTGGGATAATGTGAACATAGATTGATGAAATATATTCTTGGAAACAAATGGGTTGAGATGTTGAAATAAAATACTTTCTCGGAAAGCGATAGTGTGTTTTAGGAACCTGACTCAGAAGCTTGGGAACAGTGTTGTTCTCGAAAACATAATAAACACTAAAGGCTTGATTTATTAATCAAGTGCAAACCATGGGCTTCCTGGATTCATAGTGGTATGGTAAGCCACAATTTTTTTTTACAATATTGCACATTTTACCTGTCATGTTGCAGATGACTTTAAAAGGCCCTAACGGTCCACTTCCATCAGGGTCAATCCAGTAGGCATCAGATGATCTTCCCAAATGCTTGTAGGCCTCACAAGACTGCTCATATACAGCTGGAAGAAATAAAAAAAGAAAAACAGCTTTATTAAGTATTTTTATTAGAATTTCTTTATTAACTTCATTAATTATAATCATATATTATAATTATAATCTAACATTTTTGGAGGTTCACCTCCAAATCTTAATTAAAAAAATAAATAATTATTTTAGCAAATAAGACAATATTTTCCTTTTATATTAACTTTCATCAAAACTAGGCTATGCTGACAACTGATGGAAAACTAATTAGAATGAAGTGTGAAATTAAAATACCGATTCTGCACACATTATGTTTGCAGATTGCAATCTGACAATATCACCATAGTACATCCAGAACAAACGCAAGGTAACTATCCCACTAATCAAACTCGGAAAGAAAAGCATGAGCTAAATAGAAAGTACTTACTTAATAAATATAGAATGACAGAAACAGCAGCTTCACTGTGCAATATATGGAGTAGTATATATATAAAAAAATGTTTATACTTTTTGCAAGCTTGACTATTGACCAATACTCCTTTTTTCGCATACGGAGAGGTTTTGAGGGAAGTAGCTCAACAGGGTTCAACATCTTTCATATTGACTTATGTGTGTAACTGTTGCAGCTTTGTAACTTCTAGTCTCTTCTCCTCTCCATCTAACCCCTGGGGTCCTAAAGAAGTTTCAGTCAACTATTTCTCTCAGAACTGATCCCAAACACACTACATAGAGAATACAACAGACGTTTCATATGAATCAATAGCTCTGTCTCAAAACCTAGTGAGCGTTTGATGGAGTCGTAGTAGGTGCCACTACATACAGCATCTGAAGGTCATTCTATAAGGTAGACTTAAAGAAACCTCATTTTGGCCAAATTCTAGAGCAGCAGCATCACATGGTAATCACAAAGAAGGAAATTACATCAATCAAATATGGATAAATGATGGATGTGGAGAGAGAATTGTACTTACATTCAATATCGAAAATTATCAATACAAATATTTCAGCATAAATAAAACGTATCATTAGCTTAGCAACATGCTAACATGACACCTTCATAATCATGACATGACACATGTTATGAATATGAAGGAAGTTTTATGCATTTTTATGACAACTGTCATTAAGTGTCACTTGCTCAATTATGACATTTTTAATGCAAATATGACATTGTTTGAGATGTCTTTGTTATGACACCTTGATATAAACCAATACATCATAACCTGTCAGTGTCTTTGTCATGACAACTTGACATTACTAAGACAACACAACCTGTCATAAACATGACATAGCAGATTAATTATCAAACTTACGAAACCACTTAGCTTTATTGGTTAACATTACATGAAACTGTCAGGTGGTTGGTTTTGACATTGGCTGTCATGAAGCCATTATAACTTTTTAATGACAAATTTAATGTGTACCACTGTAGTTGAGGTCACGAAAAATATTCATGACACAGTTATAATGGCCTCATGACAGCCAATGTCAAAATCAACCACATGACAGTTTAACTTAATTTAATGTCAAGTTGTCATGACAAAGACACTGACAGGTTATGATGTTATGGTTTATGTCAAGGTGTCATAACAAAGACATCTTAAACAATGTCATATTTGCATTCAAAATGTCATTATTGAGCGAAAGACACTTAATGAGTTGTCATAAACATGCATAAACCCTACTTCATATTCATGACATATGTCATGTCATGGTTATGAAGGTGTCATGTCAGTCTTATGCACACCCCTTCAAGTAAAGTGTTACCAAACAATGGTAGTTCAAGTTAGCGTTGCCACCCGTCCCGGTTTTTCAGGGATTGTTCTCTTTTTTGAGCGACAGTCCGTTTTTTTTTTTTTTATGTACTTCTAAAGTAGAATTTCCTGGTTTCAAATTAAAACGTTTCCTTCTACTGTTACTGTGTTTTCTTCATGGTTGTGTACATCCAATCCTGTGTCCGTAAATGGGTAAAAACGGGTAAAACAGTGGATTGGCCAATGCCAGGCATTTACTTTTATTTGATTGGAAGCAGAAATACAAAGCTCAACTTATCGCCTATATCGCCTAGCAACTGCCTCTGCTGTCGGTTGGTCGCACGCATCCACACATCCACACATCCAGGATGAAACAGTGTGAGTTCAGTTGCTAGCTTTTTTAAAACTTTCTATTTACTCAGTTTTGTGAAATGGGGGGAGAGACGGATGAGGAGGATAACACAACACAATCGAATGAGCCACCAGTGTCAAAGAAAAAACGATTTACAACCTACAACTCAGACTGGGCGAAAAGAGAAAACTTTTCGGAATGGGTAAGGCCCACCCAAGGAGACCCGTTCTCCGCTACCTCTGTTTTGTGTCCTGTCAAAATTTCAGTTAATTATGAAGGAAAAACAGCGCTGGAAAATCATGCAAAAACAAAGAAGCACCAGAGTTTTGCATTAAGCAAAAGCAAAAATCTAGCCATTGCAACGTTTATGACAAAGAAAGAAATATGGGTTGATCCCCCCCCAAAAAACAATACAAAAACAAATTTCATCTGAGTGTCCCGGTTTTTCACAAATCAAAAGGTGGCAACCCTAATTCAAGTCTGCTGTGCTTCCATTTCAGTTGGTATTTCAAAATATAATTTAAACCTGGTAACAAACTGAACATTTTTGAATTTTGTGTTTCAGCTGCTACAAAAGCAGTGGAAACAAGAAGCCATCTACATATTTAACATCTAATTCATAAGTAAAAGCAAATACAGAGAAAGCAAATACTGTTACACCGAACCTTGACATTTCTCAGAAAGGTCTTCTAGATGTTAGTTAAACAGAATGATGTTCATCTTGTGTGTTTCCCATTCTCCTTTTTGCTTAATTTCACAGAATGTCATTCTTTGTTCCATTTTTGTAAGTTCTGCTCACATGCTGAGGTTTACACAAAATAACCCTTTATTTAGAAAGCATGACATGTATCAGAATAAACAACCAGCAATAAGCCGGAAACACATATGCACAGTTGCACACATATACCTATAAAAAGATACACCCAAACACACATTCTTACATGTGTGACATGTGGCTCCGGTGTACCCCGTCCCATCACAGGTGCAAGTGAAGCCGTCCCAGGTCTGACTGCATCGGCCTCCATGTTCACAGTGGTTTGGCATACATCTAAAAAAAAGAAAAGATACAGATCACAATTACACATTTAAATGCATGTCAGACCAATGTAAAATGCTAGACTACAATCTTTGATCATTGCAACTCATTTTGCTGCATTTTCAAGTTAAAGGGAAAAAAGTGTCTAATGTTCTCTTCCCATCCGCTGTGCTGTTTTAAATAGTTTTTTTTTTTACAGAGTAGCAACAGTTTTTTTTTAATAACATTTGACATGAACACTCATTGAAACACATTACTGATTGCCAGCTCAGTTGAAAACAGAGAAAGTGTTGAAGAGGATGACACTGAGTCATTTACTTTATGAAGGTCTTAATGTGACAATGGTAAAAACAGCTTTTGTACAAAAATCATAAATATATACTACTTCACTTTTAACAATTTCAACACTTGTTTATCTTGATTTGCTATACACAGAAAAAAAAAATGCACAAATGGGATAAAGACAAACAATCAAATGGACACTCTATAGGGTGAAAAAATAGTTACCATCCACGGTTCAGCACAGCAGTACTATTTTATTATTATTTGTATAATATTTAATTAGTTATTAATAATTTAAATGAGCTTTTATTTTGTATATTTTTATTTTTTATTTAAATTGTAGTTTATGTTTAAGTGATTTTATTTTGCTCTTGTTATTTTTATATTCCTAGCTTTAATTCAATTAATGAAAATATTGTTTCATATTTTTAATAAATTTACAATAACAACACTGTGGTAACTGGTAAGGTACATATTTGTGTAACGCAAAACTGTGATACAGATCAAATTGAGAGAAATTTAAACATTAAAATAAAAAAATTACATATATCAGACATATATTTATAATATCAGAATATAAAGAAATTATATACTACAAATTTCACCAAGAATAATTTTATGTCGACAGCATTCCCCCCAAGTCCCACCCCCCACCCAAAGGGCACATGGCAATCGCACACACACAAAGTTGTTTTCAAGCCGTGCAGATTTGCCAGCATCTTTTTAGTCTCAACTAAAATCTTAATTAAAGCTCTAAAGTTAAATCAATTAACGGCTTCACTGACTTTCTCCTGAACTTAATTAAGAAACAGTCATCTTCAGAGGTGTTTTCAATTGGCCAAGGATCAAAACTGAAATCTGGTGATGTGGCGCTCATTCTGTGCAAAAAATGATGCTGAACACTAGCTGTCCACTTACTTCCACAGCTCCTCATACAGTCCTGCCAAATGCACGTCAAATCCATTAACACGGCAAAATGCGGTATGAAATGAAATGAAATGAACAATCCCCTTGGAGCTAATACTCATTAGGCTGATGTCTCATAGGAAGAGCTGTGACAATGCCACTGAAAATGAACCTTAAGTCTGACGAGTTTTTCAACACTGCTATTGTCGTACTATGCTGCCAGACTGTAGTTTTTGTATAGGATGACATGTCTCGATTAATTAGGTTACCTCATTGGCCATCTGTTCCTAGAGGAGAAAGGTACAGATAGAGTTTACGCTGTTCATTAATCAAACTCCTGCAACCGAACAGTCCCTGGAAATTTGTGGCCACTGATGACTCAGTCCAATAATACAAAATTAAGTCCGAGTCGACAGGTACTGTCACTGGGAGATAAGACCTTGGTAAAAGCTTCTTGGTAATAGATTCGAAAATAGCCTTGGTAATAGCTGAGCTCTCACAAAACAGAAAGTTACAAACATTTCACTATTGTTCCTTGCCAAGCAGAGAGCTGGAGAATGCAGAGCAGTGAGCCTGAACAAGCATTTCCTGTTGCATGGTCACTTGGCTTCCCACAGCTCGCAATTTCCCAAGGAAAGATAAAGAGTGCGGAAGTAAATGTGCGCATGTTTGAGTTTAGGAAATGTCTTATTGACGAAAGAAAAACTTCTACTGAACCAGTTTACCCTATACATTTTTCTTATACAGTATGTATTGCTAAGCCTGATTTATTCTAGTAAATGATTAATCCCAAACATTCCTCTCTCACGTGTGTCATTTTGGAAATGTTATTAATTTGAGTGAATCGGTTCATAAATATTCACTCTCTTATGCAACAGTGGAAAGCCCGATTCATTCTAGCAAATTAATTAATTCTAAACATATCTCACATGCACCACTGGGATATTTGATTCAGTTGAGTGAATCGTTTCATAAACATTCCCTCTCTTATGCAACAGTGGAAAGTCTGATTCATTCTATAGTAAACGGATTCATTCTAAACATTTATCTCTCACATGCATCAATGGGAAATATTCATTTGAGTGAATCATTTCATAAACATTCACTCTCTCATGCAACAGTGGAAAGTCTGATCCATTCTAGTGAAATGGTTTATTTGAAAAACAGTCCAAAACAGATTTACAGGTTCAAATTCTTGTGCAGCATTTTAAATAGATTTTTATTAAAAGTAAAATAATAATATTTATATTATTTATATTTAGTTAAAAGTTGCTTTTCATCTCTACATTTTTGGATTAAATATTAAAACACACCCTCATTATTGGATCTACCCTAAAGTTGGATTTAGTATAAATGTATCCACGTTTAATGCAGTCACCTAATTAAAATTCTTTAGAAATCCCTCTTTGAAAAACCTAGAAAAAACAAAATATACTATTGGATAGTTACATATTTAATAATAGTACACCCACAAGTTGCTTAAAGGGTTGGTACACTCAGAAATTAAAATAAACTTCCATTGCCTAAATTAAATCTGTTGTTCATCATATAAAGTGATTATGTATCTTTAGAAGACTTAGAAGGATTTAACTGCTCGATTAATATATGCATTTATATTACGATCTCTATATATATGTTTTGAACTATCTGAGGTTTGTGCAAATAGACTTTCAATGGAGGGACAGAAATATTTCAGATTTCATTAATAATATTAGTTTAGGGTCCAATTCTAACTAATAACTAGTTGCTTATTAGCATGCATATTACTAGGATATTGGCTGTTTATTAAATGACCATATTCTACATCCCTTAATCCTACCCAATACTACCTAAACTTAACAAATACCTTACTAACTATTAATAAGCAGCAATTAGAAGTTTATTGATGCAAAAGTCATAGTTAGTTAATAGTGAGAATTGGACCCTTATCTAAAGTGTGACCAAATAACTTTTTAATAATCTAAAGAACCTTTTCCACTATACTGAACCCTTTTGTCCAATTGAAAGGTTTCATGGACGCTAAAGGTTTCTCGTGGAACCACTAATAGCTACTTTGAAACTGTAATTTGTTAAGGTAGTTGAACTGCAGTCAAGATACTCTTTTGAAAGGAGCTAAATTATAGTTGAAAATGAAAATTCTTTCATCGGTTACTCAATCGTTCCAAAACCCGTAAGACTTTCATTCATGTTCAAAACACAAATAAAGATATTTTGGTCAGATATTTAAATAAAGTTTAGGGTCCAATTCTCACTACAAGTGTGACCAAAATATCTTCATTTGTGTTTTGAACATGAATGAAAGTGTTAAGGCCCTTTCACACCGGACGCGTAACAAAAAAGCGAAACGGAGACCGTCCTGGGTGGACATGGAAATAAATGCTTATAAGCAAATTTCCCTTCCAGCACTTCTTGCATCTAAACTACAGTCTACCTCTTATATTCCGGCCGATTGCCCAGTGGTGAAACACTCGTTGAGGATTTGGATCCAATTCAGGAAGTCATTTGGTTTTAGGGACCCCTCTCTTCTTAGCCCTGTGTTCCGTAATCATTTTTTTCCACGCTCAATGCAGGATGGTTCATTCAAGAGTTTGTCTCAAAAGGGGATAAAATGTTTCAAAGACTTATTTTTGGATAATGTATTTGCTTCCTTTGAGCAATTGGTATTACGTTTTGGTCTTACCAAGTCAGATTTCTTTAGAGTCTTGCAAGTAAGACATTACGTTAAGTCACTAATACCAGACTTCCCAGCGATGCCCTCCGAAAATCCTTTGGATAGGTTCCTTTCATGTAATACATTGGCCAAGGGCTCAATTGCTACTATTTACAATTTAATGATCAATCTGGCATCTTCATCCCTGGATAACATTAAGAGAGCCTGGGAGGAAGACCTTGACAGACCACTCTCCGAAGACACCTGGAACTGTGTCCTTAAACAGGTCCACTCATCGTCAATGTGTGCTCGGCATTCACTTATACAGTTTAAAGTTGTACACAGAGCTCATATATCCAAAGTTAAACTAGCTCAAATGTTTCCTGGTACTAGCCCTATGTGCAATAGATGTCAATGTACCGAGGGAACGTTAACTCACTTGTTCTGGACATGCCCCAAATTAGAGCGTTACTGGCGATCGATATTTCACACCCTTTCTGTGGTTCTTCAGCATAGATTAGAGCCAGAACCTCTGGTGGCATTATTTGGAGTTGCCCCAGAGGACGTATGGTTGTCAGCATCAATGTGTAAAGTCCTTGCTTTCTCTTCCCTACTTGCACGTAGAGCAATATTATTAAAGTGGAAAGATCCCTTGCCACCCACTCATACTCAATGGATTAGAGATATGTTGTCCTGTCTCTGCCTGGAAAAAATTAGGTATTCACTAAGAGGATCGGAAAAACAATTTTTTAAGATGTGGCGTTCTTTTCTTGATTATGTTGATAAGTCTGTTTGAATAATGCCACTACTATTGTTTTTTGTTTTGTTTTTTTTCTCTCATTTATTTCCCTTTTTTTAATTATTTTTTTATTTATTATTATTATTATTATTTTATTTTAATTTTTTTATGTATTTGGTTGGAGGTTTATGTTTGTTAGCATGTTTGTAAATATTGTATGCATGCTTGGTTCTTACAATTCCATTTTTAATTAATGGATAGTATGGGCGTCATTCTTAAATTGGATGGTGAGGGGTGGGGGATTGTGAATGTGATGTATATTGTAAAAATCAATAAAAACAAACTTTGAACAAAAAAAAAAGCGAAACGGAAAAGCGAATAGTTCGCGTCAAAACCATTCACATCAGCCGCGACGCGAATTTGCGACGTTCAGAG